ATTATAATTATATCCATTTTGTGTTCTAGTTATTTTTTATTGTGTTTCAGTTCTTAGGTATTTTTGTTCACTCTCTGTTGCCCTCTTGTGTCAGTCTCCGTTTCCCTTGCTCCCTTCTAGAGTCCTCTGTTCACACCTGCTCCCAATCTGCTGATTAGCCTGGTCTTTGTTTCTCTCTCCCATATATACACTTCCTGCTCTGTTGGCTGGTTTATCGTCATTTATTTGCCCTCTTGTTGTGAGTATTCCTGGTTCTCAGTTTTTGTGGAATTTGTGGATTTATATTTTCGATTTTTGCTTCTGTTGCCACCTTTTTGAAAATTAAATCTGCAAGTAAGCCGCTTCAGTTTCAGTCTCTGCATTTGGGTCCTCCCAAACCCCCTACCAACCTGACGATATACAGGTACGGTTTTTGTCAATCTTTTTGCATCTACACTATAGTTAAGAGTGGGTTTGTCAGAGAAAGAGGAAACACTTCATGAAAAAAATTAAATAGTAGAACATAAAACCAACGTCAGAGGTGGGTAGACTAAAACTCAAGTAAGAGTAGCACTACTTTGACAGATTTTCACCCAAGTAAAAGTCTAAACTAACAATTAGATATAGAAAAGGGTTAGTGCTGAAAAAACTCATAACTTTTGATTTAATATTCCAAAATTATATCATCATGGAGACAATTCCTTAAAGTCCTGTTTAATTCAAATTATTTTAACTACTAAAATAAAAAGTTCATTCAAAAAAATAACACATTTGCAAAACACATTTTCAAACATAAACCTTATGAGACAAATGCTTAAATGGCTAATGCATATTTGTTTAAAAAGCATAGAGCTTTTACTGTATAGTAACTTAGCTCCACTTACTACATCAGAAACTGCACATTCAAAATAACAAAGAAATCTGAGAAGAAATGAGAATACATCAAGTGTCATCAAATAAATGTATATGCTCATCTGTTTCTGGTAGATTTTTGTAAACACAGCCAGGTCTACTGCAATCATTATAACCAGCTGTGCTGAAGCAGAGAAACCTCTAAAACCTGCAGTACAGGGGGCCTTGAGGACCGAGTTTGGGGATGCCTGGAGTAGACAAAACATTTGCTCAAGTAGGAGTAGAGATATGTTACCATGATATTACTCAAGTAAATATAAAAAGTACATTGGGGTAAAACTGGTCCTAAACCTACCTTCTTTTTAAGTGAGTAAATAAGTCACCTGTAAACATGACTGTAAATCCAACAATACAAGCTACATGAAAGATTCCTTTAGTACCCGCTACTGCTAAGTGGTATTATTGCACCAAAGACGCCCGGATTATCCGGCTTTCTTTTAGAGATGATGCATTACTTTTAAGCAATTGTAATACCTAATTTTACACTAAAAAAGAAAACCCAATCTTTTATTTGAAAGAATTAATTATATTGGAAAACCATTACATGTCAAAATATATTATTACTTTTATGGAATCACCAGAGGTACAGTTCTACCTCTAATCTAACTATTTGCTGCATTGATCTACTTGACTTTTACAATCAGACAGAAAAACTCTTCTCATTTATAATGCATGATTTCCAGGCTTGTCTTGGTATAAATATATCATCACCTATGGCAACAAGCCTGGATGGGTACTTTTGCAGTTAGTGAACCACTGCAAAGTATTTATGGGGTTGACGAATCTCCATAAACATCATTAGGCACTAATTTGTAGGAGAAATGCCCCCCATAGCCTTGGCTCTTTTACCACCACAAAGGTGTGGGGTTTCCTCTACTGTTCTGAGACTTTAACCTGAGCTGAGCGATTTGAAAATTGAAACTAATTTACAGCTTTTCAATGGCAGATATTTTGTGGGTCTGGTTTTTCTACAGAGGATAAACATTTGAAAAAGTACCTCATAGCCAAAAGTAGAGGATCCTTGATGCTGTTGGTCTGTTTTTGTTCTAAAGTTTCAGTTTTTTATAATTAAATATACTTTATGAAAATATGAGACGGATCTCGTAGACCAGTTCTCAAGCTTATGAGCTGTTTTTAAACTCATTTCATGCTTCAGGGCATCTCACATATTCATGCATACATGGTGCAAAGTTCTCCTTTTGTCTGGTTTGTATCTTGGGGTTTAAGGTTATCATGGTTGTTATGGTTACTGGTTGAAGTTTCGGTTAAACTCATAATTCAGTCTTCTGTTAAGGCGTTTCATTTTCAGCTCCTATTTTTAGAGAAGAATAGAAAAGCTTTATTGTCTAGCATACAAAACAATGGCAGAAATTTGCCTTTGGCTTGCTTACACACTACAATGTCATAAAATACAACAACATACAATTATAAAAGAGTTCATTGCAGAATGAGCAGCAGATTCACTTCATCAAGGGAAAGGAAGCAGAAAAGACCGAATGACATTCAGGTTACAACTTGTTCAACTCCTTGATGGCAGAGGGCACAAAAAAATTTCTTTACACATTCTCTAGGCACAAGGAAGTGAATGGACAGTGGAAGGCTATTGTCATCTGTGATCTTATGACGGACTGGATGCCCTGCTTTACTGTTTAACAACTTTGCCAAGTTTAGCATTGTTTTTGGCAGTTAAATGACCAAACCAAGAAACGATGTTAAATGTCAGTAAACTCTCAATTAAACCCTCGACAGGATATGGTCACTGATTTTGCTGCGCTTTCTTGCAAACACAATTATTCCTAAGTGTTTGGATGAGGTGGTTGCTCAGTGGTAAAGTGGGTAGCACAAGGTTCTGGGTTCGATTCCCGGCCCAGGGTCTTTCTACATGGAGAAGGCATGTGTGGGTTCTCTCCGGGTACGCCGGCTTCCTTCCACAGTCCAAAAATATTTATTTATTTCGAACAGACAGTAAAAACAATCAAGAAAGGAAAAAAAAAATGAATGAAACGAACTTAAGAATGAAAATATAAAACAAATTATTTTGCCCATGTGACATGCAAATTTTATATTTTCTGTTCGAAAAGGAGCAGGTAGAAGATACATCTTATAATGTCCTGCCCCTTTCCTACTTGTCAATTTATCATCAATTAACTGTCAAAACATCAAAAAAACAAAAAAACACTTGTTTCCGTTCCACATGGTGTTTAGCCATGTACAATTATTTTAAGTACTATTTATGTCATCAATTACATTATGTAATATGTAAACATGACTGTTAGTTTAAATTCTCCTTAGGTGTGAGTGTGTGTGCGTAAATGGTTATTTATCCTGTTTGTCTCTATGTTGCCCTGCAATAGACTGGCGACCTGTCCAGGGTGAACCCCGCCTCTCGCCCGTAGACAGCTGGGGATAGGCACCAGCACCCATCACATTTCTTTAATATTATTTACACTTAACTAGTTAATTAATTTAATTTAATTTATTATCATTTTTGGTAAAAGCACAATCCTGGTGTGGTCACCCACCATCTAACCCTGGTGGATGTAACATGAGTTATTAGTATATTATTGAGTCGAGAGTTATTTTTATACTTATCAGGCATGTGCACAGACAGGCACTTCCCATTCTGCCCTAGATGAGAACAATTCCCTTCTGCTGGAGCCCAGTTTTCTCCTTTTTTGAAATAAAGATAACCATTAACCCTTTTAAATTCTTTCTATAAATTGATTTTGTCTGCAAATCATGTATTACATACGCACAGGTATAATCGGTTTTCACTCCATAGTAAAGAGTGTGAGAGAAGTTTTTTTATTTATGTTTACATAGAAAACATCAATACCAAAAAGACTTCATGAGAAAATCTAATAACATTCAACTCACCTGAAGTGCAGCAGCCTTATCTTTCCTCTTGGATTTTCTTTCTCTCTCTTTCCTCTTTCTGAACTTTTTGAAATAGTCTTGGATAAGGAAACTGGCATAAACCTTTCCACACGTCACCTCATCCCCTGAAACAGACATGTGAAAAAAAAAAATTCAGATAATTGGTTTATTAAAACTTTTGTGTTTAATTATTTTCTTTATGTTGTATAATTTAGAAATGTTTTATTTGTATTTCCGGGAGGGACATACGGTGTTTCCGTTACTTGCCTCTAGGGGGCGGAATAATTTCATCAATAAGTTTAGGTTTGGTGTGCTTCCACAGCTTCTTAATGATCACCTTCAGCTCCTCATTCTGCTTATCAACAGGGCCTGGTTGAACCAAATCACACATTTGATCAATGAAAAAGGCCTTTTTCCACATGTGGGTCGGTCATTCATGTGGAATCCTGACCTTCAGTCTTTATCTTCAGTGAAGTTCGGACAAGAGCAAACAGAGTGGCGTTGAAGGTGACAGTCCCATCAGAGTGGAGCGGCACATTCATAGCCACGAGTCTCTGTGGAGACATCATGAAGCAGAAGATGGCAGATCTGCTCATTTTCCCTCCACCTATGCTTCATCATGCACCTCTATGCATGTTCTCACTTACTTTGCAGGCAACACGATGAGGACACAGCTTTCCAAAGCCAAGAGGAGGCTGAATTCTGCGCAACATAGTGACTACATCGATGTGCTTAATGCGACCTCTGCAACAGGCATAGAAAAGAATAACAGATGAGACAGATAAGTTTGTTTTGGTAACGGTGAGGAGGAATAAGGGTAAGCAGCACCAGTGAGCAGCTTTAAGAAAGACGCACGTAGCTTCTGGATCGTAGTCGGACCAAACTCTCTTAAACTCGTCCAGGTGGTGGGTCCCCAGCACCGTCCAATCTCTTGTAAGATATTCAAAGTTGTCCATGATGACAGCAATGAACAAGTTGATGATCTGAGAGACAGATTAAAAATAGAAGAGGTGTTATACTTGGGAAAAATGCTCTTATTTACATATTAAAACAATTAAAGAAATAGTAGGAAAGTATTAAATACATCAAGTAGACATTTTCTCTGATTCATACGGTGTAAAACATTATATATCAGCTTGTATACATGCAATAAAACTGTTCTATTAGCTAAGTCCAAAATGATTCACATCCCTAACAGAGTTAGAACCTATATATGAACTTCAGCTTCATGTTTCTATGACAGGAGGTTTGATAAATGTTTTTAAATTTCCCAGAGATTAGAGTCTCAGTTTGAATCAAATTGAGAATCTGAGGAGGGAGCTAAAGATTAGGGTGATGGCAGGGAGGCCTTCCAAACTCAGAGCAACGTGGAGTTCGTCATTAAATTAATACAATAGGTACCGGAGGAAACATGCAAATACTGATCAGCTTTTCTGAAAAGACTTGACTCCTTTAATGCTAAAAACATTTTTTTCTTTTTATCAGAAAGGATATTCTATAATGATATTATATAGGACTTTCAAAACAGTTTTTTATTTATTTATTTTTTTTGTTTATTTTGGCTGGATATTTGACCAATATCTGTACTCGCAAAAATCTTTTCCCTATCACATTCCTTCAAATAATGAGTGCTGATTTTATTCTGCTTACATTATAAAAGTATTTACTTAAGTT